TTCAGGGCCCAAGGAGTTGGACCATCTTCTACTGCTTTCCCAGGTTGCAGTAGAGAGCTGGATTGGAAGTGGAGCAGCCAGGTTTTGAACCAGTGCCCATATGGGATGCTGGTTCTGCAGGTGGCAGCTTTACTTGCTATGCCACAGCTCTGGCCTCTATTCTTTTGTGTACACTTCTTTTATTCAGCCATGAGGTTCGAGGTTCATCCTTATGTAGGCATGAATTTGTTTTTTTTTTTTTTTTTTCCATTTTTTTTAACTTTTATTTAATGAATATAAATTTCCAAAGTACAGCTTATGGATTACAATGGCTTCCCCCCCATAACGTCCCTCCCACCCGCAACCCTCCCCTTATCCACTCCCTCTCCCCTTCCATTCACATCAAGATTCATTTTCGATTCTCTTTATATACAGAAGCTCAGTTTAGCATACATTAAGTAAAGATTTCAACAGTTTGCTCCCACACAGAAACATAAAGTGAAAAATACTGTTTGAGTACTAGTTATAGCATTAAATCTCAATGTACAGCACACTAAGGACAAAGATCCTACATGAGGAGTAAGTGCACAGTGATTCCTGTTGTTGACTTAACAGATTGACACTCTTGTTTACAGTCAGGAAAGTTAAGAGACAACCGACAGAATGGGAAAATATATTTGCAAACTATGGAACTGATAAAGGGTTGATAACCAGAATTTACAAAGAAATCAAGAAACTCCACAAGATCAAAACAAACAACCCACTTAAGAGATGGGCATGAATTTCTTTTAAAGTGTTATTCCGCTGTTAACTATGCTGTATTTTATTGACCATTTTCCAGTGTTAGCACCACAATTGTTTCCAGTTTTTGGCTATTATAAATTTGAGAAAATTCTTATAAAAGCTTTTTGTGGTTGTATATTTCCATTTTCTTGGATAAATACTTAGGAGTAGAATTGCTCAGTCGTACAGTAGGTGCATCTTTGGTTTTATAAGAAACTACTAGGTCTTTTTCCAAATTGATTGTCATATTCCCAACAACATATTTGTAAGTTCTGATTTCTACACATTTTCACCAACCTTTAGTATTATTTCTTTTTAATTTTAGCCATTGTAGTGGGTTTATAGTTTCTCATTGTAGATTTTAAAAAAATATTTATCTATTTATTGGCAGGACAGAAACAGAGTACTCCCATCCACTGATTCACTGCTCAGATGTCCACAGTGAAGCTGGGAGCTTGAACTTCAATCCAGGTCTCCAGCATGGTTGGCAATAACCCCTCTCACTGAAGCCACTGTGGCTGCCTCCCAGGCGTTAGCAGGACACTAGTCAGGAACTAGCAGGGTATTGAACTCAGGTCCTCAATATGGACAGACATTTTAAATGGTGTCCTTAGCTGCTGGACTCTGTGCCCACCCTTATGTTGTAGTTTTATGTATATTTAATTTTTATTTGAAAGATAGAACCACACAGGGAGCTCTTTCATGGGTAGTTCAGTCCCCAAATGCCTACAGCAGCCAGTGCTGTGCCCAATTGAAGCTGGCAGCCAAGAACTTCATCGTATCTCCCTTGTGGGTGGCAGGGGGCCAGGTACTTCAGCAATCACTTGCTGCCTCCCAGGGTGCATTAACGGGGAACTGGATCAGAAGCCCAGTAGCCTGGAGTGAACCAGGCACTCCATTATGGGACTTGAACATCCTAGGGTGGACTTAAGCCACGCCCACTGCATTGTAGGTTTATTTGCATTTATATTATTCCATTTTCTTTTAAGATACATTTATTTGAAAGGCACAGTTACAGAGAGAGATCTTCCATCTGTTGGTTCATTCCACAATGACTGGGGCTGGGTCAGGCCCAAACCATGAGCCAGGAGCTCCATCCTGGGCCTCCCATGTGGGTGGAAGGGTCCCAGACACTTGCCATCTTCTTCTGCTTTCCCAGGCACAATAGTAGGGAGCTGGATTGGAAGTGGTGTAGTGGGGACTCAAACTGGTGCCCATATGAGACATCAGTGTTGCAGGCAGTGGCTTAATCCTCTGTGCCATAGCATTGACCACTAAATTAAAAAGAAAAGAAAAGCTAGAAGGCATTTTAAAAAATAATAAGGTCATTAGTATGTGCACTAATTCATTATGGCTGGTGTCCTGTTGTCTCCTGGGCCTCAGCCCTGAACACCCACCAGTCATGTTTGGAGTGGCTGGCACTCTACTTGAGAGCACAGGTGGTTTTGGTGAGGGATCAAGTTTAGGACCTAAGGACCCTGGAGAAGCGCCAAGGGTATCCTGTGAGTAGGAGCCCTGTACATGTCCAGAGCCCTGCACCATGGTTCCCTTTGCTTGGAGCTGTTGCTTGGCCTAGAACTGCTGTTATATGAGGATTTTTGCTAGAACTCTGCCTTTTTGCCTGCAGTTTAAGGCCAAGGAGAATGGAAAGAGACACTCAGTCTTGAGCGTGAGCTGTGCATCTGGCCTGGAGGCTATAGCCCAAGTACATACCACTTACTGTGAGTAGCCAAAGTACCAGGGTCCCCTGTCAGCTGCAGCCTGAGAGGTGCTGCTGACCTTTATGTTTTGATCACCTCAGTCCCTGAAGTCAAGTTGACAGCTTGCCTGCTCGTCCTTTGCGTGCCCCTTCAGTGGTGGTTGATATGTTAATTGATAGATTTGAGAGCAGTCACCAGTCTGTCTGGGCTGGGTTCACGTAGGAACAGCTTTAGCTTTACCTGAAGACCCCAAAACAGTCTTTTCTCCTTGAGGGAGGAAGCGAAACAGAACACTGTGTCCTTCCACAGCACTGGGAGAGGAAAATAAAAATCTTTCCAACAACAACAAAAAAAAAAAAAAAAAGAAAAGAAAAAGAAATGCTGGGGCTGGCATTGTGGCATAAGGAGTAAAGCTGAAGCCTACAATGCTGGCATCCCATATGGGCACTCGTTTGTGTTAATGGCCGCTCCACTTCCGATCCAATTTCCTGCTAATGACCTGGGAAAAGCAGAGGAAGATGGCCCAAGTATTGGGGCACCTGCCACACACGTAGGAGAACCGAATGTAGCTCCTGGCTCCTAGCCTTGGCCATTGTGGCCATCTAGAGAGTGAACCAGCAGATGGAAAGTCTCTCTCTCTCTTTCCCTCCTTCCCTCCCACTCCCTCTCTCTCTCTCTCTCTCTCACTTTCAAATTAATAAATTTTTTAAAGAAATTAAAAAATAGCAAATGCTGCACCTAGATGATGTTGAACATAAAGGCAATTTTAATTTGTTGTGTTTATGGTTGAAAAATTATTAGATTCACCTTTAATAGTTGACATACTTTTAAAATCTCAGTTCCATGTTTTTAAAAAATTTCAGTTTTCTGTTTACTATAGGGTAGTTAAGCTTCTACTGTAAATTGCATGTTTCTTTGCTCATTGTAGTTTTTCCATAATTAATGTCTAAAAGTTTAACTTCGTGATGTCTGTTGTTATATAGATGTTTTGGTTGTTTGGTGAGTTCTCATTTTGCTCAGGAAATTTATATCTTAGAGATTTTAAATTAGTCTCTTATATTTTCTTCTCAGTCATTTATAGTCTGTTTCCATTAGAAAAATGTTAATCCATATGGAATATTATGATAGAGGCATTTTGATGTTTTCTTCAAGGGATTGCCATCATAAATCATCACTGCTCAGTGAATGGTCCATCCTCATTAATGTACTACTTCCCTAATCCTTGGCTTATTTTCCAGAGCTATTATGGGGCTTTTCACTTTTTAAATTGCTGTTGATAACTATGCTTACTAGGACCACACCTTCTTAATTTTTAATTTTTTTAAAGACTTATTTATTTATTTGAAAGAGTTACACAGAGAGAAGGAGAGGTGGGGGGTGGGGGGGGAGGTCTTTCATCCATCTGCTGACTCACTCCCTAGATGGCCACAACGTCTGGAGCTGTGCTGATCTGATCTGAAGCCAGGAGTCAGGTGCTTTTTCCTGGGACAGTGTCTTAACTAACTCCCAGTAAATAAGGGTTTTAAAGGGATAATTTAATCCTTACAGCAATGTATTGAGAACAGGCTCTACCATGATGCTTTTTTTTTTTTTTTTTAACAGGCAGAGTTAGACAGTGAGAGAGAGAGAGAGAAAGGTCTTCCTTCTGTTGGTTCATCCCCCAAATGGCTGCCACGGTCAGCATGCTGCGCTGATCCAAAGCCAGGACCCAGGTGCTTCCTCCTGGTCTCCCATGCGGGTGCAGGGCCCAAACATTTGGGCCATCCTCCACTGCCTTCCCAGGCCACAGCAGAGAGCTAGACTGGAAGAGGAACAACCGGGACAGATTCCGGCACCCCAACCAGGACTAGAACCCGGGGTGCCGGCACTGCAGGCGGAGGATTAGCCTAGTGAGCTGCGGTACTGGCCCACCGTTAGGTTTTTACATCATGTTTTGCCACCCCTAACTACCAGATTGCAGAGGGCTTTGCTCTGGGTCTGGCTTTCTGTAGTTTCTTAAAAGAAATCTGCATATGTGCACGTGCACACATATCCAGGAAGAAATTCTTATCAGTCAAGTATAAACTTGGAATTCTCCTGTTTGCAGCCCACACTTACTCCAGAATCTATGTATCTGTGAGCTGCTGTCTGGGCAGATTCCCTCCCACTGAAGTGATCTCTCCATGGCTTGTTTTCCTTCATTCTGCTGCATCACCTTTCTTTTATTGGCTTCCTGTTTTCTTGAAATCAGTTCATTGATCCCCTCCCCTAATAGCTCTGTTGCTATGGCATTACATTCTTTTAGAAATCCCTTCATTTTTATTTTAATAGATCTTGAGGAAGGGTTACATATATGTATTTGTATGCCATTTTGAACTAAAAAACCTCTAGCTTTTTAAAATGGAACTCCAAGAGAAGATATTGCTGAGGCTATTAATTGTACCTTTTATTTTAGTTTTACATCTTAGTGCTAACATATTATATAACCTTGGAAGATCAAGGTTAGTAATAAAATTCTATAGTGCCTATAATATTATTTTCTTTTTTGATATCAAACAGTTGAAGACTATCAGCCAATTCGTCTGATAAGTAAGCCTGGAGAATTGAGACGAGAATATGAAGAGGAGATAAGCAAGGTAGATGTTAATGTTCTTATCTTTTGGGGGGGAATTTTTTCTGCCATATTTTTAGTTTCAGAATTTACATAGTTATATGTGCTGATATAACTATTACATGTTAAAATATAAGCAGTTTCAATGTGCTTTATAAAGGCTCCATTTTTACATGTGTTCAAATTAGTTATGAACTAGCTTGCTTTAATTTACTTATACATGATTAGTGCTGTTATGTAATAGCCTAAGCATTTAAGGGTGAGAAGTTTCATTTCTCTGAAGATTTGAGCTTGAAGGGTGGAAAAGGGGGTGGATTGTAAGGTTAGATGAGGAAAGCATAAAGGGCTAATTGTGAAAGACATAAGAAGGAGAATGAGTAGTGTTCGCAGAGAAACCTTTGCACTTCACTAACACGGAGCTAGAGAACCCTAGCATTCTTGCTTTGTGTAGGATGGTGGTGTCCAATGGAAGTGTAATATGTGCCCATTTGTTATTTAAGTTGTTCTAATTGTCACAATTAAATTTTTTTTAAAATTATGTTAATACTGCATTTAATCCAGTATGTCTAAAAATGTTGCTTTATTATATAATCAGTATGAAAATGATTAATGATGTGATAGTTTTAATTACATGTAAAAAATAATGAGAGGTGCACATTCGAACTAGTGGTTAAGTTACTGGGATACCTGCATCCCACTGGAGTGCCTGAGTTCAAGTCTTGGCTCTACTCCTGATTCTAGATTCCTTCTAATATGCCTAGGAGGCCTCAGATGATGGCTCAACTAGTCAGGGGTCTGCCGCCCAGGTGGGAGATCTGGTTTGAGTTCCTAGCTCCCAGCCTTAAGTTGGCCCACTCCTGGCTGTTGTGGCCATTTGGGGAGTGAAGTAGTGATTGGGAGTGCTGTTTCTGTCTCTCACTCTCTCTTACTCTCTTTCTGGTTCTGTGCCTCTCAAATAAATAAAAATCAATAAAAATAGTGAGGAGAGGGTGTTGTGGTGTAGCAGGGTGAGCCATTGCTTGGAACAGCCACATCCCATATCAGAGTGCCTGGTTTGAGTCCTGGCTGTTTGTGCTTCGGATCCAGATTCCTGCTAATGCAGCTTGGGAGGCTGCAGATGTTGGCAGAGTACTTAAGTGGCTGCTACCCACCTGGGAGACCCAAATGGAGTTCATGCTCCTGGCTTTGCCCTGGCCCAACCCTAACCCTGGGTGTTGGGGGCACTTGGGGAGTGAAACAGCAGAAGGAAGATCTATCTATATCTCCCTCGCCCTCTCTCTTTGTTCACTCTGTCACTCAGCTTTCAAATAAATAAATAAATAAATCATTAAATAATAATTTTTACCTTTTTTTTTAATTCTTCAAGATCCATTGTGTATTTTACACTTAAAATACATCCCAACTTGGACTAATCATATTTCAATTTTCTTTTTTTTTTTTTTTTTTTTGTTTGTTTGTTTTTTTTTTGTTTTTGACAGGCAGAGTGGACAGTGAGAGAGAGAGACAGAGAGAAAGGTCTTCCTTTGCCGTTGGTTCACCCTCCAATGGCCACCGCGGCCAGTGCACCGCGCTGATCCGATGGCAGGAGCCAGGTGCTTCTCCTGGTCTCCCATGGGGTGCAGGGCCCAAGCACTTGGGCCATCCTCCACTGCACTCCCGGGCCACAGCAGAGAGCTGGCCTGGAAGAGGGGCAACCAGGACAGAATCCAGTGCCCCCACCGGGACTAGAACCCGGTGTGCCGGCACCGAAAAGGCGGAGGATTAGCCTAGTGAGCCGTGGCGCCGGCCTCATATTCCAAATTTTCAGTGGCAGTGGCAGTTGGACTGTACATGTCTAGACGACCTATTAAATAATTCTGTTAGCAGAATTGTCAGCATATTATTTAAACTGGGTCCTAAGTAAGTTTTGGCTGGGGCAGTGGGGGTTGTATTATTTTGCATTCTCTTTGAGAGATGAGGAGAACTACCATCTGCTGGTTCACTCCCTAAGTGCCTGAAGTGGCCTGGGTTGGGCCAGCTGAAGCTGGGAAGGGAACTCCATCCAGGTCTTGCACAGGATGGCAAGAAACCAATTATTATAGTGTTTCATGCTGCCTCCCGGTTTCTAAAATAGGAGGAAGCTAAAGTAAGGAGCCAGAGCTGGGTATTGAACTGAAGTAGTCCAATGTGGGACACAGTGTCTTAGCTAACTCCCAGTAAATAAGGGTTTTAAAGGAATAATTTAATCCTTACAACAGTGTAGTGAGAATAGGCTCGACCAGGATGCTTTTGACTACAAGTAGAAGAATGCCCACTTTAAATTACCTTGTTTAGCAAGAAAATTAAAATTAACTGGAGTTAAAGTGATAGTACGGGTTTTAAGACAGGCTCTTCTTTCAGAGCTGAGCTCCATTTTTTCTTTTTTTTTTTTTTTTAAGATTTATTTATTTATTTGAAAGGCAGAATTACACAGAGGCAGAGGCAGAGAAAGAGAGGTCTTCCATCCACTGGTTCACTCTCCAGATGGTCACAACGGCCACAGCTGAGCAGATCTGAAATCAGGAGCCAGGAGCTTCTTCCAGGTCTCCCACGCGGGTGCTGGGGTCCAAGCACTGGGCCATCTTCTACTGCTTTCCCAGGCCAAGAGCCAGGAGCTTCTTCCAGGTCTCCCATGCGGGTGCTGGGGTCCAAGTACTTGGGCCATCTTCTACTGCTTTCCCAGGCCAAGAGCCAGGAGCTTCTTCCAGGTCTCCCATGCGGGTGCTGGGGTCCAAGCACTTGGGCCATCTTCTACTGCTTTCCCAGACCAAGAGCCAGGAGCTTCTTCCAGGTCTCCCACATGGGTGCTGGAGTCCAAGCACTTGGGCCATTTTCCACTGCTTTCCCAGGCCAAGAGCCAGGAGCTTCTTCCAGGTCTCCCATGTGGGTGCAGGGGCCCAAGGACTTGGGCCATCTTGTACTGCTTTCCCAGGCCATAGCAGAGAGCTGGATGGGAAGTGGAGCAGCTGAGACTCGAACTGGCGTCCATATGGGATTCCAGCACTACAGGAGGCAGCTTTACCCGCTACACCACAGTGACAGCCCCTGAGCTCCATTTGTTTGTACACTTCTGTGAGCTGGCTTTGTCCTCAAGCTAGTGGGAAGATAGTTACATAGTTCCAAGCCTCAGATGCATGCAGAACTGCATGCAGAGGGAAAAGGAGCATTTTTGATGGCTTTCCTTTAAGAGCAAGCAAACTTGACTCAAAAGTGCTATAACAAACTTTCCCTCTTATCATTCACTTGAATTGGATCAGTAACTTATTCTATCACACCATCTGGATTGCTAAAGTGATTTTTAAAATATATTCAGGGAGTATGGTTTATTTTCAGGTATTTGAAAGACAGAGTAACAGATTTTTTTTTTTTATCCACTGCTTCACTTACCAAATGCCTGCAACAATCAGAGCTGGGCCAGGCCAAAGCCAGGAGCCCAGAAATATTTCTAGGTGTCCCACATGAGGGGCAGAGGTCCAAATCTTGAACCATCATCTGCTGCCCCCAGGAAACATTAGTAAGAAGCAAATTGTGGGGCCGGAGCTGTAGGGCAGCAGGTTAACGCCCTGGCCTGAAGCACTGGCATCCCATATGGGAGCTGGTTCGAGACCCGGCTGCTCCACTCCACTTCTGAGCCAGCTCTCTGCTGTGGCCTGGGAAAGCAGTGGAAGATGGCCCAAGTCCTTGGATCCATCCCTGCACCCTCATGGGAGACCTGGAGGAAGCTCCTGGTTCCTGTCTTCAGATCGACGCAGCTCTGGCCATTGTGGCCAATTGGGAAGTGAACCAGTGGATGGAAGACCTCTCTCTCCTCCTTCTCTCTCTCTCTCTCTCTCTCTCTCTGCTTCAAATAAATAAATAAATCTTTTTTTTTTTTTTTTTTTTTTTTTTAAGCTAACTGGAAGTGGAGCATCTGGATCTTGAATTTGTGATCTCCAATTTGTGATGGAGGTGTTCCAAATGGTGGCTTAACCTGTTTCACAATGTTCACCCCCAGGCAGTATAGTTAAATGACTACAAGGGCCGGCGCTGCGGCTCACTAGGTTAATCTTCCGCCTGTGGTGCTGGTACTCCGGGTTCTAGTTCTGGTTGCTCCTCTTCCAGTCCAACTCTCTGCTGTGGCCCAGGAGTGCAGTGGAGGATGGCCCAAGTGCTTGGGCCCTGCACCTGCATGGGAGACCAGGAGGAAGCGCCTGGCTCCTGGCTTCAGATCTGCTCAGTGTGGCGGCCATTTGGGAGGTGAACCAACAGAAGGAAGACCTTTCTCTCTGTCTCTCTCTCTTTCACTGTCTAACTCTGCCTGTCCAAAAAAAAAAAAAATGACTACAAGCATGACCTTAGGTCTTAGAATCTGATTTTGAGTCTTTGCCATTTACCAACTTGGGAAAGTTACTCGCTTTTCCATGTCCTTTTCTACACCTGTAAATCATATAATGATCATTGAGGTTGTTTCTTCAGCATCTGTTCCATTCCAGCCCACTCTGGGAGTTCATCCCAGTTTCAGGGAGGGGCCCTGATTAGTCCAAGGCCCTTTTATTATTCCATCCCCTTTTCTAGAAGTGGGTTCAGGAAGCTAGGTGTACCTCAGTGAGTTCATGGCTTTCTATCACCTGAGAAAGTATTACCAGGGCCGGTACCATGGCACAGCAGGTTAAGCCACCTCCTGCAATGCCAGTATCCCATATGGGTTCCAGTTCAAGTCCCGTCTGCTCCACTTCCCATCCAGCTCTCTGCTAACGTGCCTGGGAAAGCAGCACAAGATGGCCAAAGTTCTTGGGCTCCTGCAGGCATGTGGGAGACCCGAAAGAAGCTCCTGGCTCCTGGCTCCTGGCTCCTGGCTCCTGGCTTTGGCCTGGCCCAGCCCTGACGGTTGTGGCCATTTGGGGAGTGAATCACTGATGGAAAGACCTCTCTCTTTCTCTCTCCCTTTGTCCTTGTCTGTAACTTTGCCTTTCAAATAAATTAAAAAAAAATTTTTTTTAAGAAAATGTTACCAAGAACCCCTTGCACGAATGTGTGGCCTTGTGGTAATGACTGAAAAGAATGAACAAGAGCCAGGCTTTGCTCAAGGCTTCTTGAGAGCCTTCTTGAACTATTCTACAGGAATTGCCTCTCCACATTTCTTTCTTTCTTTTCTTTTTCTTTTTCCTCCTTTTTTTTTTTTTTTTTTTTTTTTTTGACAGGCAGAGTTAGATAGTGAGACAGAGAAAGGTCTTCTTTCCATTGATTCACCCCCCAAATGGCCGCCACAGCCGGCGTGCTGCGCCGATCTGAAGCCAGGAGCCAGGTACTTCCTCCCGGTCTCCCATGTGGGTGCAGGGCCCAAGCACCTGGGCCATCCTCCACTGCACTCCCGGGCCACAGCAGAGAGCTGGCCTGGAAGAGGAGCAACCAGGACAGAATCTAGCGCCCCAACTGGGACTAGAACCCGGGGTACCAGCACCACAGGCAGAGGATTAGCCAGTGAGCCACAGTGCTGGCACCTCTCCACATTTCTACTTCCTTTGAGGTAGATTCCTGCCAACTTGTTCTTTTGCTATTCTATTGCAAGCATACTAAAAACTTCAGAGGGACGGCCATTGTGGCATAGCAGGTAAAGCCTCCTGCAACACCAGCATCCCATCAGGATGCTGGTTCAAGTCCTGGCTGCTTCATTTCTGATCCAGCTCCCTGGACTGGGGCGGGGGGCGGGGGACAGGAAAATGGCCTGGCCCAGCCCTAGCTATTGCAACCATCTAGGGAATGAACCAGTGGATGGAAGATCTCTCTTCTCTCTGTCTCTTCCTCTCTCTAACTTTCAAGTAAATAAATATATATTTTAAAAAATTAAAAGTTCAAGCTTACTATTTTGTTCTTTGTATTATTTTGTTTTTCTACTTAATATCATTGGTTGAACTCTTTAATTAACACACAATTATTCTTGGGTGTTTAAACCCAACTGAAAATTGATCTTGATTCCTGTTTGGTTTTTTTTTTTTTTTTTTTTTTTTTTTTTGACAGGCAGAGTGGATAGTGAGAGAGAGAGAGAGAGAGAGAGAGAGAGAGGTCTTCCTTTTGCCGTTGGTTCGCCCTCCAGTGGCTGCCGCGGCCGGTGTGCCGCAGCCAACGCACCGCGCTGATCCGATGGCAGGAGCCAGGTGCTTCTCCTGGTCTCCCATGGGGTGCAGGGCCCAAGCACTTGGGCCATCCTCCACTGCCTTCCTGGGCCACAGCAGAGAGCTGGCCTGGAAGAGGGGCAACCGGGAAAGAATCCGGTGCCCTGAACGGGACTAGAACCTGGTGTGCTGGCGCTGCTAGGTGGAGGATTAGCCTATTGAGCCACGGCGCCGGCCCTTGATTCCTGTTAAAAATAAGAGTGGGAATAAGAGAGGGAGGAGATACAGTTCGGCGCACACTCTCTCAGACTTACCCCTAAAGGTAAAGCTTTTAAGTTCATAACTGATCATAAAGATAGGATTAAGTGTCAAAGGGATCACATAAATAAGACCAGTGTCTGCTAATAATAATTGATATAATTAAAAAGCAGGGAAAGATCCAACATGGGAAGCAGGATACACAGCAGACTCATAGAATGACAAATGCCCTAACCAGCACCCTTGCCTCAGAATCAGCCCTTAAGGCATTCGGATCTGGCTAAACAGCCCATGAGAGTATCTCAGGCATGGAAAGCCAAGACACTGCGGCAAAAAATGACCTACGTGAAAGATCTCTGTGAGTGAGATCTCAGTGGAAAGAAAGGGCCATCAAAGAAGGAGGTACCTTTCTCTGAAGGGAGGAGAGAACTTCCACTTTGACTGTGGCCTTGTGTATATAAGATCAGAGATTGTGAACTCAAGAGACTTCCATAGCCTTGACAGCTCATGACAAGAGCCTCGGGTGATTACTGACATTATAAATAAGAGTGTCAGTTGTTAAATCAACAACAGAAGTCACTGTGCACTTACCTCCCCATATAGGATCTCTGTCCTTAATGTACTGTACTATGAGAATTAATGGTAAAACTAATCTTCAAGCAGTATTTTATACTTTGTGTGTCTGTGTGGGTGTAAACTGTTGAAATCTTTACTTAGTATAGAGTTGATCTGTTGTATATAAAGATAATTAAAAATGAATCTTGGCCGGCGCCGTAGCTCACTAGGCTAATCCTCCGCCTGCGGCGCTGGCACTCAGGTTCTAGTCCTGGTTGGGGCGCCGGATTCTGTCCCGGTTGCTCCTCTTCCAGTCCAGCTCTCTGCTGTGGCCCAGGAGGGGAGTGGAGGATGGCCGAAGTGCTTGAGCCCTGCACCTGCATGGGAGACCAGGAGGAAGTACCTGGCTCCTGGCTTCGGATCAGCATGGCGCTGGCCGTAGCGGCCATTTGGGGGGTGAACCTTTGTCTCTCTCACTGTCTAACTCTGCCTTTAGAAAAAAATGAATCTTAATGAAGAATGGGATGGGAGAGGGAGTCGGAGATGGGATGGTTTGCGGGTGGGAGGGTGTTTATGGGGGGAAGAACCGCCATAGTCCAAAAGTTGTACTTTTGAAATTCATATTTATTAAATAAAAATTTTCTATTAAAAAATTAAAAGTTCAGGGAAATATTGTTCTGTATTAATGCTTTTTGAGGTGGAAGCAGAGCGACGAGCCAGTGAGGAAGAAGAAAACAAAGCCAGTGAGGAATACATACAGAAATTACTGGCTGAGGAGGAAGAAGAAGAAAAGAGACAAGCAGAAAAAAGGCGAAGTGAGGTGGAAGAACAACTGAAAAACGACGAGAAACTGGCAAGACGGCTAAGCATTGATATTGTAAGTTTTAAGAGAGAACTTAAAAAGCTTTTTAAATATGTTATTATTGAATTCAAATTTTATAGAAAAGCTGTTCAGTGAAAAATGAGTTTCCTTTCCTCCCATTCCACCTCTCCACTCGCATTCCTGTTCCATTACATGAGTCTGTTTGAAAGGCAGCCATTGGTAACAGATTCTTAAAACTTTTTCCCTTATTCACTTAGAAAGGATTAAATCATACTATTTTGCTCCTTGTGTTTGTTCAGAGACTTTTCACATGTAGTCTAATTCTTTTTTTAAGAGTAGAATATCATTCCATTGTATTGATATAAATCACTATTTGAAAGTAGAGTACATATTCTTAAGTAATGTGTTCAACTTGGATATTATTAACTTGCTGTAGTTAAATTACTGCTATGAGAAAATGAATTGAAAGATGATAAAACATATACTTTTTATATACTTTTACATATTTGCTCTAATCAATTTTTTTTAAAAAAAGCTTTTTAAATGTTATTATAAATTCAAATTATGTAGGGAAACTATTCAGTGAAAACTTCCTTTCTCCTCATTCTACCTTGTCACTCCCATTCCTGTTCTGTTACATCAGTCTCCTGGATTTTATTATCTTGCTGTAGTTAAATTACTGCCTATGAGAAAATGAATGAAAGAAAGGATGATCCAGCACATATATTAAGGCCAAAGGGAACCAAGGACTTTAAAAAGCCTGGCAGAATTACCAAAGGATCCTTGAAAATATATACTCTTGTACCTACTCCAAATCTACTGAATTAAAGTGTTTGGGGTGTGGGACTTAGGGAATTTGGATCGTCCCTACAGAGATATGAAACATACAGGTTTAAGAGGTTGTGAGAACAATTCCTTTGCTTTCAAACAATAAATATCTCTAAAAATATATACCTAGTGTGGCCAGTGTTGTGGTACAGCAGGTTAAATCCCAGGGTTGCAGTGCTGGCGTCCTTGCTCTGCTTCCAATCTGGCTTCCTGCTAATGCGCCTGGGAAAGCAGAAGATGGGCCAAGTACTTGGTCCCTGCACCCACATGGGAGACCTGGAAGAAGCTCCTGGCTCCTGGCTTCAGATTGGCTCAGCTCTGTTGTCATGGCCATTTGGGGAGTGAACCAGTGGATGGAAGACCTTTTTCTTTCTCTTTCTCTCTTTCTTGCTCTCATTCTACCTCTCTCTGTAACTGTCTTTCAAATAAATAAAGTAAATCTTTAAAAAATGTATATTTACTTAACAAAAATGAAGTACACTGAGAACCAGCTTTTTTTTTTTTTCTTTATTTCTTTTCTGAGAGGCTTATAGTTTGTAAAAATATTCTCAGGTTTTGGATTGTATGCCCTCTTTCTTATAGCCTTTTTCACCATTTTTTTAAATTTATTTTTATTTATTTATTTTTTTATTTTTGATAGGCAGAGTTGACAGGGAGAGAGAGAGACAGAGAGAAAGGTCTTCCTTTTTGCCGCTGGTTTACCCTCCAATGGCCACTGCAGCCGGCGCGCTGCGGCCGGCGCACTGCGCTGATCCGAAGCCAGGAGGCAGGTACTTCTCCTGGTCTCCCATGGGGTGCCTGGCCCAAGCACTTGGGCCATCCTCCACTGCACTCCGGGGCCACAGCAGAGAGCTGGCCTGGAAGAGGGGCAACCGGGACAGAATCCGGCGCCCCAACGGGGACTAGAACCCAGTGTGCCGGCGCCGAAAGGCGGAGGATTAGCCTAGTGAGCCGTGGCGCCGGCCCTCTTTTAGCCTTTTAAAAAATGTTTGAGTAGAATAACCTTAGAAAGATGCTTAATCAGGAAATAAAATTAAAGACATTGAGCAGTGGAATAGTAAATGGAACAGAAAATAAATGTGTTGAAGAGGACAGGTTGCTGTTCTCTGTACCTGTCTTTAAAGTGTCTGTGCTTCTAAATCTTCCAGCTATAACATGGGATTATAGAATATTTTTATTGATATTTTATAATAAGCTTTGGTTTACTTGAGAAAGTTTGGACCAGAGCCAAGTGTTCACCATCACAATTTTTTTTTAAGATTTATTTATTCATTTATTTATTTGAAAGACAGAGTTACAGAGAGGCAGAGAAAGAGCAGTCTTCCATCCACTGGTTCACTCCCCAATTCGCCGCAAAGCTGGAGCTGTGCTGATCCAAAGCCAAGAGCCAGGAGCTTCCTCTGGGTCTCCCATGTGGGTGCAGGGGCCCAAGCACTTGGGCCATCTTCTACTGCTTTCCCAGGCCATAGCAGAAAGCTGGTTTGGAAGTGGAGTAGCTGGGACTTGAACTGGTGCCCATATGGGATGCCAGCACTGCAGGCAGTGACTTTGCCTGCTAAGCCACAGTGCCAGCCCCCACCATCACAGATTATATGAATTTTCCAATAAGGTAGTACAAAACTTATGAGACTGATAAAACACAAATATTTGTAATATTTATTGTTACACGCTTAAGGCCTAGAATTAAATTATTTTCATGTTAAACTAAATTTTACTCCTGGTTATATCTACAAGTCTTTGAATTTTCCCCTATAGATTAAGATAGTTATTTATAGTTGTATGAAACTTTGTTTAGAAAAAAATCAGAATTTATCAGCTAAAGAGATTAGTATCGTGATGCCATTTTGCATGCTTTATAATCTACAGCAAAAATTGATTTATTTAGATCAACTTGGATGTACTTAATTTTGTTTCTGTAATCATCCCTCAGTATCTAGGGGATTGGTTCTAGGAGCTCGTCCATGGATGCTCAAGGGCCTTTTATGGGTGTAGTATATGCCTGTAATCTGTACATACACTGTCATAAACCTTAAGTCATTTCTAAATCAGGCCAGGCATTTGTCACAGTGTTTTAGGGCACCTGCATCCCATATCAGAGTACCTCGTTCAAGTCTTGGCTTCCCTGCTTGTGATCCAGCTTCCTGCTGATGTACACCCTGGGAAGCAGCAATAATGGTTCAAGTACTTTGGTCCCTGCCACCCTTGTGGGACCTGGATTGAACTCCAGGCTCTTGACTTCAGCCTAGTCCAACCCTGGCCTTTGCAGACGTTTTGGAGTGAACCAGCAGGTGGAAGGTCTCTCTGTCTCACTACCTTTCAAATGAAGTAAAAATAAATATGCATTTTAAATTAATTAGAATACCTAATACAATGTAAATAGTTGTTACACTGTATTGTTTAGGGAGTAATGATAAGAAAGGCTGTATGTGTTCAGAATAGACACAGTTTCTTTCTTTCTTTCTTTCTTTCTTTTTTTTTTTTTTTTTTGAGAATTTTTGAACCATAAATGCTTAAATGCTTGAATCTGGATGCAAAACCTAGAGATACAGTAAGCTGACAATACTGAGGTGTGTTTTTTTTTGGTTTTTTTTTGTTTGTTTTTTTGACAGGCAGTTAGACAGTGAGAGAGAGACAGAGAGAAAGGTCTTCCTTCCATTGGTTCACCCCCCAAATGGCCGCTATGGCTGGCGCGCTGTGCCGATCCGAAGCCAAGAGCTAGGTGCCTCCTCCTGGTCTCCCATGCAGGTACAGGGCCCAAGCACTTGTACCATCCTCCACTGCACTCCCGGGTCACAGCAGAGAGCTGGACTGGAAGAGGAACAACCAGTTTTATGTGGTCAGTTATCTTCAGTGGATGTATAGAATTTAAGTATTAGTATAATTCCTGAAAAATTCTGTAGATCCCATATTGATAGCTTATTCTGATAAGGTTTCCTTTAATAATCCTTTTTTTTTTAATTGTTGAAGAACAATTTCTCTGAGGGAGATATCTTGGCTTCTCCCTTGAATTCCAGAAAATCTGATCCAGTAACAACCAAGTCACAAAAGAAAAATAAGAATAAACAAAGAAGCACTGGAGATATTCAGAAGTAAGTAAACATGACAATTTTTTGACGTCTATCATATATTAGTGTTTTTTGTTCATAAAGACAACTGACTATCAAAATTTTGTTTGTGAGCTCTGCATGAAAACCCTCAAGGGGCCGGTATTGTGGTACAGCAGGTGAAGTCACAACTCACGTCACTGACATCCATGGCAGAGCTCCCGTTCCAGTCCGGGCTGCTCCGCCTGTGATCCAGCTCCCTGTTAATGGGCCTAGGAAAATGGTAGATGTTTTCACCAGCCACTTACTTTGACAGATTTGTACTTTTTATCTTGCTTGCTCAGGACTTTCATGTTATTCCCATTTTCCCAAAATGAGTCTGTTGAATTCCTCTTTCTCTTGGTTTAAACTGAAAGGGGCTCTTGCTTTGGCAGGTTAAGCTGCCATTTGCAATGCCAGAATCTCCTGTGGGCACTGCTTTGAATCCCAGTGCTCCGCTTCTTTTTTTTTGACAGGCGGAGTTAGACAGTGAGAGAGCCAGAGAGATAGAAAGGTCTTCCTTCCGTTGGTTCACCCCCCAAATGACTGCTACGGCTGGCACTGCGCCAATACTAAGCCAGGCGCCAGGTGCTTCCTCCTGGTCTCCCATGTGGGTGCAGGGCCCAAGTACCTGGGCCATCCTCCACTGCCTTCCCAGGGCACAGCTGAGAGCTGGACTGGAAGAGGAGCAACCAGGACAGAATCGGCGTCCCAACCGGGACTAGAACCCTGGGGTGCCGGCGCCGCAGGCGGAGGATTAGCCTAGTGAGCCACGGCACCGGCAATGCTCCACTTCTGATGCAGCTTCCTGCCAGTGCTCCTGGGAAAGCATCGGAGAATGGCCCAAGTGCCCCAGCACCCAGTTGGGAGACCTGGAGGAAGTTATTGGCTCCTGGCTTTAACCTGGCTGTTGCAGCCATTTGGGGAGTGACCAGTGGATGGAAAATCTCTGTGTCTCTCCTTCTCTCTTTCTCTAAGTGTGCCTTTCAAATAAATAAAGAAAAAAATGTTTTAAGATTTATTTATTTATTTGAAAGTCAGAGTTACACAGAGAGAGGAGATACAGAGAGAGAGAGAGAGAGAGAGAGAGAGGTCTTCTATCTGATCGTTCACTCCCCAGTTGGCCACAACGGCCAGAGCTGCACCAATCCGAAGTTAGGAGCCAGGAGCTTCTTCCAGGTCTCCCATGTGGGTGCAGGGGCCCAAGGACTTGGGCCATCTTGTACTGCTTTCCCAGGCCATAGCAGAGAGCTGGATCGGAAGAGGAGCAGCCGGGTCTTGAACCGGCGCCCATATGGGATGCCGGCACTTCAGGCCAGGGCGTTAACCCATTGCACCACAGCACTGGCCCCGAGAAAAAAAAATGTAAAAAGCTGCTCCCAAATAAGCTCTTTGTTTAAGACTTTACAGTTTGGCATGTGGTTCCTTCTCCTCTCTCCCTTTCCCCACCAGCTTATGCATCGTATTTCTTCTCCACCATCCAAAAGCGTGAATCAGAGCGTAGTGGAGTGGTTTAGTTTCCCCTCAGTATCTCTTCAGCAGCAGGTCATGAGTGCTGTTGATGGCTTAATGAGGATAAAAGCCTTTCTGTGGCATTTTGTATTTGGAAGAATTGAAGAACTATAATTTAGGGACCAGCGCTGTGGCACAACAGATGGAGCCGCCACCTGCAATGCCAGCATCCCATGTGATCACCCATTTGGGTCCCAGCTGCTCCACTTTGATCCAGCTCCCTGCTGGTGCTCCTGGGAAAGCAGCAGAGGGTGGCTCAGGTACTTGGGCCCCTGTACCCACATGGAAGAACCAGTAGGGGGCTCCTGGCTCCCAGCTTTGGAATGGCCCATCTCGGCTGTTGTGTTCTTCTGGGGAGTGAACCAGCAGATGGAAGATACCTCCCTCCCCTCTCTCTGTGCATTGCAAATTAATAGATAAATCTTAAAAAATAAAAAACTGCAATGTAGACGTAACGAACAAGGGCTTCTTGTTTCAACTTGGTTGAAAGTTTGGATTTGGAGTCTCGGGCTGTGGAGAAAAGAGGCAATTGACAATAATTTTTTTTTTTTTTTTGACAGGCAGAGTGGACAGTGAGAGAGAGAGAGACAGAGAGAAAGGTCTTCCTTTTGACGTTGGTTCACCCTCCAGTGGCTGCCACGGCTGGCGCGCTACGGCCGGCGCACAGCACTGATCCAAAGGCAGGAGCCAGGCGCTTCTCCTGGTCTCCCATGGGGTGCAGGGCTCAAGCACTTGGGCCATCCTCCACTGCACTCCCCGGCCACAGCAGAGAGCTGGCCTGGAAGAGGGGCAACCGAGACAGAATCCGGTGCCCCGACCGGGACTAGAACCCGGTGTGCCAGCGCCGCAAGGTGGAGGATCAGCCTATTGAGCGGCGCCGGCCAGAATTTTAAAAATAGATGTGGCAATATCAATTTTTAGAAAAACATTTTATCTATTTGAAAGGCAGAGTTACAGAGATAGAGGGAGAAAGAGAGAGAGAGAGAGATCTTCCATCCACTGGTTCACTCCCCAAATGACCACAGTGGCCAGGGTTGGACTAAGCTGAAGCTAGGAGCCTGGAACTCCGCCCTCATCTCTGATGTGGGTGACAGGGACCCAAGCACTTGGACCATGTTCTGCTGCTTTCCCAGACATATTACCAGAGAACTGGATTGGAAATGGAGTAGCTGAGACTCAAACCAGTACCCATATTGGATGTGGGCATTGCAGGTTGCTGCTTAACCCACTGTGCCACAATGCCAGCCCTTCAATATTGTTAATACTGATGACATGCAAAGTACACATAAAGAGAAAACCATTAAAGAGGAAAATCATAAGTATTTCGTATTGATACAACATTTTTCTGCTTAAGAATATAACTCATGGGGGCCGGCGCTGTGGCATAGTGGGTAGAGCTGCCACCTGTAGTGCTGGCATCTCTAATGGGTGCTGGTTCGAGTCCCAGCTGCTCCACTTTCTATCCAGCTCTCTGCTGTGGCCTGGGAAAGCAATAGAAGATGTCCCAAGTACTTGGGCCCCTGAACCAACATAGGAGACCCAGAAGAAGCTCCTGGCTTTGGATTGGCACAGCTCTGGCCGTTGCAGCCAATTGGGGAGTGAACCAGCGGATAGAAGACCTCTCTCTCTTTCTCTGTCTGCCTCTCCTTGTCTGTCTGTGTAACTCTGACTTTCAAGTAAAATAAATAAATCTTTAAGAAAAAAAAAGAATATGACTCATGAATTTGTTTCATTTTTTATCTATTTATTTGAGAGGTAGACAGTGAGAGAGTCAGGTAGTGAGAGTGCTCCCCCATCTGTTGGATCACTCCCCAAATGCCTGAAATGGCTAGGGGAAGCTGGGATCTGGGAATTGAATCCAGCTCTTTCTACGTGGGTGGCAGGGACCCCGCTACTTGAGCCATCAGCATTACCTTGCACCGGCTGCACCAGCAGGAAGCTGGAATAAAGAGCTGGAACCAGACATCGAACCCAGGTGCTCCAATATGAGATTTGGATGTTTTAACTGGTGACTTAACAACTGGGCTTATTGTCTATGTTATGAATCTTTATGTACCTAAATTATATATTTTGAAATATATAGGGACTAGTGCTGTGGCATAGCGAGTAAAGCCACCGCCTGCAATGCCAGCATCCCATTCGTGCCCTGGTTTGAGTCCCAACCGCTCTATTTCCAATCCAGCTCCCTACTGATATGCCTGGGAAAGCAGTGTAAGATAGCCCAAGTCCTTGGGCACCTGTACCCACATGGGAGACCTGGAAGAAGCTGCTGACCCCTGGCTTCATCCTGGCCCCAGGTCCGGCCGTTGCGGCCATCTGGGGAATGAACCAGCTGATGGAAGATCTCTTTGTCTTTCCCTCTCTCTTTCTCCATAACTCTGCTTTCAAATAAATAAATCTTTTTTTTTTTTTTTTGACAGGCAGAGTGGACAGTGAGAGAGAGAGACAGAGAGAAAGGTCTTCCTTTGCCGTTGATTCACCCTCCAATGGCTGCCGCGGCCGGTGTGCTGCAGCCAGCGCACCGCCCTGATCTGAAGGCAGGAGCCAGGTACTTATCCTGGTCTCCCATGGGGCGCAGGGCCCAAGGACTTGGGCCATCCTCCACTGCACTCCCGGGCCACAGCAGAGAGCTGGCCTGGAAGAGGGGCAACCGGGACAGAATCCGGTGCCCCGACCGGGACTAGAACCCGGTGTGCTGGCGCCACAAGGTGGAGGATTAGCCTATTGAGCCGTGGCGCCGGCTAATCTTTAAAATATATAATTACTAGAAATATGAGAATACACTAATGAATTTAGAAAAAATGATTGGGAAATCTGGTATAAATTTAAAGTCAAAACCAGATCAAATCTAGTCTATAGACTATGTCCCAAAAAAACTAGTAACTCAGTGACACGGCAGTTTAAAAATGGGCAAAGAAAGGTAGATGTTTGATGCAGCAGATAAGTCACCACTACCATTTGGGATGCCCTTATCCCAAATTGATGGAATGGCTGGTTCATGTCCTGGCTACTCCACTTCTGATCCAGCTTCCCACTAATGAGCATCTTTGGAGGCAGCAGATGATGGCTCAAGGATGTGGGTCCCTGCCGACTGATGGGGCGGAAGTTCTGGGCTCCTGGCTTCAGCCTGGCCCAGCCTCAGCTGTTAATAGTCATTTGGGGAGTGAGCAGTGGATGGTCTCTTTCACTGTGTCTCTTTCACTCACATTCTTTCTATCTCTGGCTTATGAATTTAAAAAAAAAAAAAAAAAAAGTATGTATTTGAGAGAAAGAGGAATCTTTCGTCCTCTGCCCAGGAGCATCTTCCATCTGCTGATTTGCTCCCTAAATGACCTCAGCAGTCAGGGCTGGAGCCAGGATCTCCATCCGGTCCTCCACATGGGTGGCAGTGATCCAAGCATATGGATCATCATCCACTGCTTTTCTTGGGAGCATTAACAAAAAGCTGGACTGGGAGTGAAGCAGCCAACTTGAACTTGTGCTCCAGTGTGGGATGATTGGTTCAGAAGAGGCAGTTTAATCCACTGCCACAACACCAGCCTGTAACACACTGATTTTAAATTGATTTAGAAGAGAAAGGGCCTTCAATTACTCCTGAAAGACAGTAAAATGTGTGGTAGAGGATGGATGCTGCAGATCTGTAGTAATTAAACCTAGATGGTGTTTATACAAGGATGGGTAGGTAGTTGACGGAAACAACACAATAGTTGTTTAAAAACCAATTTATAGAGTTTATAGAGCTAAAAATCAAACTTTAAGAGGATAATAAAGGCAGATATTTTTAGGAAGGGTTGTTTGAAAGAGCAAAAACCAATTAGGTGGTATTAAGAGTAAGGACATTTATTGAAACTATTTAGAAAATAAAAAGATGAGATGCCAACTTCGAGATATTTTAACTTATTTAACTGACAAGAGATAACTTTATTTTAAGATTCATTTATTTGAAAAGAGAGAAGGAGAGAGAGTGATCTTCCATCTGCCAGTTCAGTTTCTGAATGGTCAGAATAGCTGCGGCTATGGCTGGGCCAGGCCAAAGTCAGGAGCCAGTAGCTTCTTCCAGGTGTCTCACATGGGTGCAGGGGCCCAAGAACTGGTTTTCATGAGACAAATCCATTCACGCTCCCTTGAAAATATCTTTAAGACATTAAATGAAAAAAAGCAAATCATAGGATACATTTTGCTTTAACCAAGAGGGAGTGTATACTATATAGAAATTACATTTTGGGGGGCAGTGTTGTGGTGTAGCATATAAAACCACTGCCTGCAGTGCGAGCATCCCGTATAGACACTGGTTTTTGTCCTGGCTGCTGTACTTTTTTTTTTTTTTTTTTTTTTTTTTTTTTTTTTTGACAGGCAGAGTGGACAGAGAGACAGAGAGAAAGGTCCTCCTTTTTCCATTGGTTCACCCCACAGTGGCCACTGCAGCCGGTGTGCTGCGCCGATCCGAAGCCAGGAGCCAGGTGCTTCCTCCTGGTCTCCCATGCGGGTGCAGGGCCCAAGCACTTGGGCCATTCTCCACTGCCTTCCCGGGCCACAGCAGAGAGCTGGACTGGAAGAGGAGCAACTGGGACAGAATCCTGCGCCCCAACCAGGAGTAGAACCCAGGGTGCTGGCTCCACAGGTGGAGGGTTAGCCTAGTGAGCCGCGGCGCCGGCCTCTGGCTGCTGTACTTCTGATCCAGCTCTCTGCTATGGCCTGGGAAGGCAGTAGAAGATGGCACAAGTCGTTGAACTATGTGGAAGACCTAGAAGAAGCTCCTGGCTCCTGGCTTCAGCCTGGCCCAACCCTGGCTGTTGTTGCCATTTGGGGAGTGAACCAGAAAATGGAAGATCTCTCTTTCTCTCTGTCTCTCCCTTTCTGTAAAGCTGACTTTCAAATGAATAAATGAATCTTTATAAAAAATCACATTTTTTAAAAAGTTACATATGAAGAAGCAAAAAGGAATAGAAATGTTTGATTATATATTTCCTGTATTTCTGTTTATTTTTTAGAATGAGTATGTATTTATATAAGAATACTTTTTTATTTATTTATTTTTAGAATGAGTGTGTGTGTGTGTGTATATATATATATAAAAAGTATACTTATACATTACTTCGTTATAAAGAATATCCAGGAGAATTAATGAATCTCTACTGATTTTGTTAAAATTCTGATTCTCATAGGTATTTGATCACATTTTGTTTTGTTCTCTCATGAATTTCAAAATAACCATTGTGGTAAAGCAGTGATCCCTTGATACTGACATACTTGGTAAACCAAGGGACCGACATTGGCAGAAGGAATTCTTCAGCCTTGGGAAACAAAATGAAAATGAAACTGAATCTGAACTCCTGTTTTTCTCTTATCAACTGAAAAGGCAGTTCTTGTTCTCAAAATCATTTAGACTAATAAAGTAAAAGTGTGGTTTAGGTACTCATTTGTGTCTGTGAGTTATTCAACCTTTATATGAGATCTTTATCCAGATTTTGTTTTATTGTTCCATATGTTACTTATTGGTGCTTTAGATAGTGCAACTTATGATTTTACAAGATATTTGTAATGACATTTTTTTCCTTTTTTTTTTTAATAAAAATTATGGTTACCTACTCTTTTGAAAGTCATCGAAAATTAATACCACTTGAAAACAACCAACAGTTTTGGGAGAGTTCTGCTATTTAATAGCATTTTTTTATATGTTTGAATATTTTAAAAGGCATTCTTACCATCTTGTAACCTACCGTTTTCTTCCTACTTCTACAGCATTTTCCATGTTATTACAGACTTCATATTTTTAGTAACAAACAGCCATTAAAGATTCTTAGAAATTTAGAGATATGCTGTTAATGTTCATATTGGTATGTCTGTATGTTTCTAAGCAATTAGTTGATAATAAAAGCTTATGTAATAAAATGTTCATGCTACAGTGGTAAAACATCTAATCATAGTCTGACCCTTTCCTAATAATAAAGAAAAAAATTTAATCAGCCCAAGTTTCTGGCAGAGAAGAGACTAACAAATTCACTTTCCTGATTTTAAATGTCTTTTTTTTTTTTTGGTTTTTGGTTTTTATTTTTTGTTTTTTGTTTTTTCATTACTTTTAAGATGACTATAATCTTGCATTGCTTTAATACTATCTTCCTTTTCTAATTCTTTGAAGAATTAATATATATTTGGATTTGATTTTTTACTTTTCTGTTGTTTCTCACTAAAATGTCAATACTTAACCTTTTACTTTTTGTCCTGAAGTTAAACCAAAATTCCTGAGATGAGGAGATGAAATACACTGTGATAAATTTGCCAATCAACAACCAGACAACCTTAGGCATCGTTTTTTGGACTCTATTATACTGACTGTAAATATATATATATATACACACACACACAGTCCTATATACATATAGATACGCACACATATATAGAGGACTGTATTATACTTGTCCTTCAGAACAGACAAACTCTGATACTCCTTTTCTTTCTTTAAGGTACTTGTCACCTAAGTCTCAGCTTGAGTCAGCGTCACAGTCTGAAGTTGTAGAAGTCAGGAAAAGCTGCATATCTGAGGTACGTTGATGTGAAGATGCGCCCACTAAGGCAAGTTTATTACAGTAATAGTTAATGCAACAACTCTCTTAGTCATCTTGGGCTCCAGATAGTAAAATATTTCAGGCTTTGTAGTCAGGATAGTCTAATACACTCTCCATCACAGCTGGTTCAGCTATGCCCTTATAGTGTGAAAGCACCATAGACATTAGGTAAACAAAAAAGCTTGTTCATGTTCAATAAAACTTGGTTTACAAAAGCAGGCAGCACGCTGGATTTGGTCCATGGGTCATAGTTTGTTGATTCTTGACCTAGATAATCAAACTCAAAAAACTGAATAGGATATACCTGACACCAGCTTCACGCAGATTATTATAAGGTGTGAAACAAAGCTTTCTAATAGGACAGCGTCGACATGTCTGTTCAGCAGAGCTCTTAAGTGTTGGCCTAGAAACAAGCCACACAGGTGAGTGTGGTAACCACTGGGACCCCATGTTATACAACATCAGTTATTTCTGGTAACAACCCATGGATGTAGCTTCTGTAGGTTCCTGATAAGAAAAACACCCAGTCAGAAAACTATATGTCATTTCAGAAGCCCAGCTTTGCCTTCCTACTAGTGTTTTTTTTGTTTGTTTGTTTGTTTTTGTTTGTTTGTTTTTTTGACAGGCAGAGTGGACAGTGAGAGAGAGAGACAGAGAGAAAGGTCTTCCTTTGCCGTTGGTTCACCCTCCAATGGCCGCCGTGGCCGGCGCGCTGCGGCTGGCGCACTGCGCTGATCCGATGGCAGGAGCCAGGAACCAGGTGCTTTCCCTGGTCTCCCATGGGGTGCAGGGCCCAAGCACCTGGGCCATCCTCCACTGCACTCCCTGGCCACAGCAGAGAGCTGGCCTGGAAGAGGGGCAACCGGGACAGAATCCGGCGCCCCAACCGGGACTAGAACCCGGTGTGCCGGCGCTGCTAGGCGGAGGATTAGCCTAGTGAGCCGCGGCGCCGGCCCCTACTAGGTTTTCATAAAATATTCCTAGTAATAGCACAGATACAGATCACCCGTCAAGGGACATTTTTTTTTTTTAAAGATTTATTTTATTTATTTGAAAGAGTTGCAGAGAGAGGTAGAGACAGAGAAAGAGAAGTCTTCTATTCACTGGTTCACTCCCCAGATGGCTGCAATGGCTGGAGCTGTGCCAATCCAAAGCCAGGAGCCAGGAGCTTCTTCCAGGTCTCCCTCGTGGGTATAGGGCCCCAAGGACTTGAGCCATCTTTTACTGCCTTCCCAAGCCATAGCAGAGAGCTGGATCAGAAGAGGAGCAGCCGGGACTAGAACCGGCACCCATATGGGATGCCAGCGCTTCAGGCCAGGGCTTTAACCCACTGCACCACAGCACTGGCCCCAAGGGGCATCTTTACCATAAACTGTGTGGCCTAGAACAGGTGACATTCTGCCTTTGTCAGGTTTCTGGGAAAATTGAGCTAGGAATGGGAAACTCATGCTGAGGTCAATTTCCTACATAGAAGTTTTGTTAAACCTTTTTCATGGAGTTCTAACATTTTTTTCATTTCCATTAAGTGGTTTGATGGCACCTAATGTTATTATTTGTTAATTTATTAATTTGAGAGAGAGCTCTCAATCTGCTGGTTCACTCCCCTAAATACCCACAAATCCTAGGACTGAGCTGGGCAGAAGTCAGGAACCAGGAACTCCATCGAGGTTTCCCATGTGGATGGCAAGAACCCGATTGCTTGACCCGTAACCACTGTCTCCCAGGGTCTGCGTTAGTGGGGAGCTAGAGTCAGGAGCCAGAGCCAGGTGTTAAAACCAGGCACTCTGATGTGAGATGGGAACATCTTAACAGTCATCATAACCACTAGGCTAAACACCTACCACAAGCACCAAAAATTTAGATTTACTATGTACTGCATAATTTAGATTTTTTCTGTCATTTTTACAGCCTCCGATTCTGTTAGACAGTTACCCTTCTTAAACTCAATTTACAGTTTACGGGAAAAAAAAAGAACTTGAGGCATAAAGCATTTAAGAGACTTGCCTAAAGTCCCTCAAATAGAATTAATAGAGACTTTCAGTCCAGATAATCTAGCTTATATTGGAATTGAGGGTTGGTAGACTAGGCATTGTAGCATTGGGATATTTTTCCTATCATAGAAGACATTTATAAGGTGACACAGAGGTCAGCTCCTGATGCTAGCTATTTCCTATATATAAAGTGTGGTTTGTGGATTTTAATCCATAGACTTGTATGAGAGGGAAAATGATGAAATGCTTTAATCTAAATTGGCACACAAAATAAAAATACTAAGAATTAATGTATATTACCTAGTAATACTTAACAATGTGTAGTGTCAGTTCAGGTATGGTATCAGCATAATTAGACTTACATATTAAGATTTGATGTTTTCTCCTGTTTCCTGCAGGCAACTGATAGTAGTGATGTGAAAAACCCTACATGGCAAGACACAGACAGTGAAGATATGCCAACGCTTTCTCCGCAAATATACCTTGAAATTCAAGAACAAGGAGCAAAGTCTTCAGTGGAGTCGCCTATGCCTTGGTTATGTGCCTATGATACAGAAGGGTGCCTTGAAAGAGAAGTCAGAGCAGAACCAAACAATCATGATAAAGAATCACGTATCCTAAGTCAGGAGGGACCTAAGCCTGCAGCTGCTGACGCTAGAGAAGCCGAGGTGAAGCCTGGCGGCCACGTAGACAATGAATGCACACCATCAGTTGTAGAGTCCTGCCTCCTGATCAGTGAGGATGTTTCCAGAAGTAAAGACCAGCACTCTCCATTGGAAACAGCCAGCGATCCATGCCTTTGTGCCAAAAGAAGGAAAATACTTCCCACACCTTCCACAGAGCAAGAAGAAACGGAAATAACCTTCACCCAAAAACTGGTAGATTTGGAGCGTCTACTTTTTGAGAGACACAAACAGGAAGAACAAGATAGGTTATTAGCATTAGAACTACAGAAAGAGGTGGATAGAGAACAAATGAAACCAAATAGGCAAAAGGGATCCCCGGGTGAATATCATCTGCGAGCTACGTCCTCACCTCCAGACAAACTGCTAAACGGACAGGGAAGGAATCTGAGAGATAGGAACACCAACCGACAGACTGATAGAGAGCATTCAAGGCTGCGGAGAGGCTCCCGGTCTGAAAACTGGCAGCCCTCTTTGAAGATCCAGTTGAAGAATTCAGTTGTTAATGGAAGAAAGATGAGAAATTCTACTAGAGATAATTGTAATGTATCTAAAAGTGCTCCTAGTAATTCACAGAAAAGTATTTTCCAAATGTTTCAGAGATATACCAAATAATGCATAGTTAACCTGGATTGTGAATTTCTCTTCTATCCCAGAATCTGTAAATTTGTCATCAATTTCTGCTCTGTAGGCACACTCATTATCTTTAAAGGACTGTGGGTCACAAGGGAAGAACATACAAATGTACTTAGCAAAACTTGTAAGCAAGGGTCCCTGTAATTGCCATTGTTAATAACTGACCTCCTAAGTTCGACGGTTCTTAGAGATAGAAAATTGCCTTGACATCTGCACATGCCATTCTCTTTGCAAAAGCATGCTTATGACCTTTGCTTACCTTTTTGTCATGAGTACATCAAAGCAAGATTTCCTTTAACAAATAGTTAAGAAACCCAAACTAGGTATCCTTGCTGCTTTTCTAGATATTTACAGAATGCGTGAAAGTATCTTCCATAACACTACAGTAATTAGTTTCCATCTCCAATTTCACAAAATTTGAAGCATTATACCATATCCTTTACTTTAAAATAGATTGGCACCAACATTAAATCAGGAAAGTTGGATATGAGTTGACAGGAAGTTGGACCACCCTTGTGTAAAAGGAGTTAAGAATTGAGACAAGGCTGAGTGGGGTAGATTGACCCTTTGGGAGCATTGGAACTGAATGGGCAGTCAGGAATTGGGTCCATAACAGGGTAACAAGATGCAGGTTGGCATATATTTGCCCCTTGTCCTTTGTTTGCCAAATGACACAGAAAGCATTTTAGTTTTATTACTTTTTACTCCATAGTATCTGGTGTCAAAATATTAGGTATTAAATTAACTGAAATTTTGGAAATTCAAATTTCTTTTAGTTCGTTCCAGGGGAAAAAAAGAGCTTACTGTACAGGAGTTATGTCACAGTGTCTTACGTTGTAGGACCTGATACAGAACTGTGTGCCTGTTTCCTTATCATTTGTATTGATATTAGCTTTTATTTATGTTTATGGAAATAAATAAAAAGTATGATACTTGAATTTTGCCCTCTCTTAATTTCAAAAATTAAAAGACAGTGATTTCATTATATGAAATTTAGTTTAGAGACTGTTGCTTCATTAATATAAACAACTTTCAGCAACAAGCAACAGTTTAACAGCATTTCTCCATTTAATGAAAACTAAAATAAAAATGCTCTAAAGCTAATTCTAGTGCAATTTATCAGTATTTGCATATTGTAAAATTTTTGGCCTCCATATTTTATAGTTGAAAGTCTTTTCATACTTGATGACATCTATGGAAATATTGATTAAATAACAATGAGTAAAATGTCCTTTCGAGTGAGTGCCTTCTAAATGTTGATGAGATCAAATGAAATATAGGCAAAACTAACCAAATTGGCTAAAATAGACTAAACTCCATCTTCTTGTTGAATTAATATTTTTTCTAAGATCAATTTCACTTTATGTTTTTGGATAGACATTGTTGGAAATCTTCAAATTGAAAGTTATCTGATTAAATCTTTCTGGAATAGTCCATGACCAAAAAGGGGAAACAAAAATAGCGCATGAAGCCGGCGCCGCGGCTCAATAGGCTAATCCTCCGCCTTGCGGCATCGGCACACCGGGTTCTAGTCCCGGTGGGGGCACCGGATTCTGTCCTGGTTACCCCTCTTCCAGGCCAGCTCTCTGCTGTGGCCCGGGAGTGCAGTGGAGGATGGCCCAAGTGCTTGGGCCCTGCACCCCATGGGAGACCAGGAGAAGTACCTGGCTCCTGCCATCAGATCAGCGCGGTGCGCCGGCCGTGGCGGCCATTAGAGGGTGAACCAACGGCAAAAGGAGGACCTTTCTCTCTGTCTCTCTCACTCACTGTCCACTCTGCCTTTCAAAAAAAAAAAAAAAAAAAACGCATGGTACAGTAATTTAGGATTTACATATTTAACTCCATACTCATTTGTGAAGAAGTCTTTCAGACTAAAGTTGGTTTGAAGATAAATTTTATTTCTTCGATAGTCTTTCTGCTATTTGAACCATGTATGCCTTTTTATTAGAAACTAATAAATGTTTTGTGTTAATGAGAGTGTATTGCTGCTGTTCTCTCATTGTGAAATGAATATGAGAATGTTGAATTTCTCAGGGAGTACTAAAGCTGTACAGATGTTGAGAACCTGGAAAATTAAAGTAATTACTGGAAATAAAAATAGAGTATTATGTATATTTTATCACAGTTTAAAAATAGATAGATGTGGGACCAGTACTGTGGTGTAGAAGGTTAAGCCTCCTTCTGCTGTGTCAGCATCCCATATAGGTACCAGTTTGAATCCCAGCTGCTCCACTTCCCATCCAGCTCCCTGATGTGTCTGGGAAAGCAGTGGAGGATGGCCCAAGTGCTTTGGCTCCTGCATCCATGTGGGAGACCCAGAAGAAAATGTTTTCAGATCAGCCCAGCTCCAGCCATGGTGGCCATTTGGGGAGTGAATCAGCAGGTCAAGATTTTCTCTCCCTCTTTGCCTTTCAAATAAATAAATCTTTTTTAAAAAATGAAATACAGGCCGTCACCGCGGCTCAATAGGCTAATCCTCCGCCTTGCGGCGCCGGCACACCGGGTTCTAGTCCCGGTCGGGGCGCCGGATTCTGTCCCGGTAGCCCCTCTTCCAGGCCAGCTCTCTGCTGTGGCCAGGGAGTGCAGTGGAGGATGGCCCAAGTGCTTGGGCCCTGCACCCCATGGGAGACCAGGAGAAGCACCTGGCTCCTGGCTCCTGCCATTGGGTCAGCGCGGTGCGCCGGCCGCGGCGGCCATTGGAGGGTGAACCAACGGCAAAGGAAGACCTTTCTCTCTCTCTCTCTCACTGTCCATTCTGCCTGTCAAAAAAAAAAGAAATACATAGATTGGCTCCATTTAAAAAATTATATGCTGTGCATTCTAAAAACAACCATAAATGGAAATTGAAAAATATGGCAAAACTTGGGAAGAAATAGTTGCAGTGTATTATGAAGTGCTGATTTCCTTTATATACACATTAAGAAAAAAAATAATTGGAAAATTAGAGAAGTTTGTTTCCAGAGCAAGAGTCATGGCACAGTGGGTTGAGCTGATGCCTGCAACATTGTCATCCCATATCGCAGTACTGCTTGAAGTCCCCGCTGCTGGCTTTTCATCCAGCTCCTTGCTAGTCCACCTGGGAAGTCAAGGGGATGGCCCCGGGTACTGGGATGCCTGCTCCTCATGTGGGAGACCTGGGGGGTAGTTCTGGTCTCCCGGCTTTATCCTGGCTCACTCCTGGCAGTGTGGCCAATTGGAACGTGAACCAGTAGATAAAAGATCTCTGTGTCGCTCCCCTCCTCTCTCATGCTTCGTTTCAAATAAAATATTTTTTTAAAAGTGTTTCAAGGAACATTCCGAGAAAAAATGACTTTAAATTAAACATGTGAAAAGATGTATGATACCATTCATGTTAATAGAGATTTTTTCAGCCACCTTCACGTATGCTGAATGTTGTGTACGAAAATATTTTGTTATGGCATTGTTTATAATAAGCTTAGAAACAACTTTAATGACCATGTAGACATTAAATAAATGATGGTATAATGAGATAGTTTAAAAGCATGGGGGGTGGAGGAGCACTGTTGTGGTATAGGGGCTAAAGCCACCTATGAGGCCACCATCCCATATGAGCACCAATTTGTGTTCCAATTGCTTCATTTCCCATCCAGTTCCCTGCTAATGGTCTAGGAAAAGCAATGGAGGATGGCCCAAGTGCTTGATCTGCTGCCACCCATGAGGGAGACCCAGATGAAGCTGTTGGTATCAGCCTGGCTCAGCCCTGTCTGTTATGGATAAGAGATCTCTCTGTCTCTTTCACTCTAATTTTGACTCTTAAATTAACAAGTAAATAAATAAAAACATTTTCAGATATAAAAACACATATATACAAGTTATAAGATAGGAGGGGTCAGCATTGTGGTACAGTGGGTTAGGTCGCCAACTATGATGGTGGCAGGGGCCCAAGCACTTGGACCATTTTCTGCTGCCTTCCCAGGTACATTAGCAGGGAGCTAAAGAAGCGAAGAAGCCAGGACTTGAACCGCCACTCCGTGGGCCCCGGCATCTACATGGGGGACCCAGGTGGAGTTCCAGGTTCCTGGTTTCAGCCTGTCCCAGCCCTGGCCATTGCAGCCATTTGGGGAGTAAACCAGCAGATGGAAGACTCTCTCTCCTCTCCCCTCCCCTCCTCTCCCCTCCCCTCTCCTCCCCTCCTCTCCCCTCCCCTCCTCTCCCCTCTCCTCCCCTCCCCTCCTCTCCCCTCCCTTCCCCTCCCCTCCCCTCCCCTCCCCTCCCCTCCCCTCCCCTCCCCTCCCCTCTCCTCTCCTCTCCTCTCCTCTCCTCTCCTCTCCTCTCCTCTCCTCTCCTCTCTGTGTAACTCTGCCTTTTAAATAAATAAATCCTTAAAAAGAAAAAAACAATATTTCAACAGAGGGTGTTCAGTCAAGGGATTTGGTTTCACAGGTGTTGCAGCAAAAGAGACCACAGAGGTATCCTGAAGATGGTAACGGTTGGAAGTGGCCACCACCCTCACGGCCAAGAAACACAAAGGGCTTCGGTTTCTAGAATGCAGGCGCCCAGGACATGGGGAAAAGTGGCCCCTGCAGACTGGGCGTGCAGGCCTTTGAAAGAGGAAGTGCCTCCCAGCAGCCGCCGGTACCTCCGAGGCAGCCCAGTGGGTCCACATCTGAAAGAGCTGAAAGCCATTGGAGTCAACTGCCATTGCAGGCTCAACACTGACAGGAAACAGCAAAACCCTAGAAGGCTGCTTCCCTTTCCTTGGATCTCCGACTAGAGAGCCTGATAGGACACCGGCTGGCAAAGCAGTCGGGAAATATTTTTTACATCAGAGCAGGGTTTAAAATGGCAGTTTCAGAAGTGAGAGGCAGGGGGGAAAGAAAGCACACCGCAGACGTTTTTCTTTTTTTAATAAAGATTTATTTATTGGGACTGGTGCTGTGGCACGGTGGGTAAAGCCACCGCCTGCAGTGCCGGCATCCCATATGGACAATGGTTCCAGTCCCGGCTGCTCCACTACCAATCCAGTTCTCTGCTAAGGCCTGGGAAAGCAGTGGAAGATGCCCCAAGTCCTTGGGCCCCTGCACCCATGTGGGAAGACCCGGAGTGTTCTCCTGGCTCTTGGCTCCTGGCTTCAGATTGGCGCAGCTCCAGCCTTGTGGACAACTGAGGAATGAACCAGTGGATGGAAGACCTCTCTCTGCATCTCCTTCTCTCTGTGTGACTCTGACTTTCAAATAAATAACTACATCTTTTTAAAGAGAGAGAAAAAAAAGATCTTCCATCCGCTGGTTCACTCAACAAATGGCTGTAAACCAGAGCTGTGCCAGACAGGAGCCAGGAGCTTCATCCGGGTCTCCCACATGGGTGCAGAGGCCCAAGCTCTTGAACCATTTTCTGCTTTCCCAGGACTTTAGCAGGGAGCTGGATAGGAAGTGGAGCAGCCGGTGCCTACAGCCGGCACTGTAGGCGATCGCTTAATCTGCTATGCCACAGCACTGGCCCTCGATTTTTTTTAAATAGATTCTGAGACTCACATCTGAAATTTTTAAAACAAAAGCCTGTAAAACTCCTCTCTTGACAAGAGGGAGAGGTCTTTGGGGCAATGATGCTTATCTGCAAATTCCCAGGACCGGATCAATGGGAGAAAAGCGAGAATCTTCAAGGGCCTGTAGAAAGCCCTCCCAGTTGTTTGTTTTGTCCTTGCTCGGCCAGAGCTGATGATGCGGAGAGCATCTTATAAACAAGGTATGATTTCTTCCATTGGCAAATGCTCAGAAAACTTACACTTAAATCTTTTATTTGTATAAAACTGACAACTACCTAGATTTAACTGGTACTTTTTTTTTAAAAGACTTATTTATTTATTTATTTGAAAGAGTTACACAGAGAGAACGAGAGGCAGAGAGAGAAAGGTCTTCCATCACTGGTTCACTCCCCAGTTGGCTGCATGGCCAGAGCTGTGCCGATCCGAAGCCAGGAGGCAGGAGCTTCTTTCGGGGCTTCCAAGCCAGTGCAGGGGCCCAAGGACTTGGACCATCTTCTACTGCTTTCTCAGACCATAGCAGAGAGCTGGATTGAAAGTTGAGCAGCCAGGACTTGAACAGTTACCCATATGGGATGCCGGCATCACAGGCAGCAGCTTTACCCTCTATACCACACTGCCGGCCACTTAACTGGTACTTTTTAAAGAATTATCAAAAAAAATTTTCAGGGCCAGCATTGTGCCATAGCAAATCCTGGCATTGATGCCACCTGCAATGCCAGGATCCCATATGAGCACTAATTGTTCAAATCCTGGCTGCTCCTGGCTTCAGATCAGCGCAGCTCCAGCCATTGCCGCTAATTGGAGAGTGAATCAGCAAGTGGAAGACATATCTCTCGCTCTCTCTACTTCTCTCTCTGTGTAGCTCTGATTTTCAAATAAATAAATCCTTATATATGTGTGTGTGTGTATGTGTATATGTATGTATGTATGTGTATAAAATGATATATGTATGTATAAAATGAAATATGTATGTGTATGTATGTGTGTAAAATGATAACCCAAGTGCTTGGGCCCCTGTACCCTTGTGGGAGACCCAGAGGAAGCTCCTGGCTCCTGGCGTCAGCCTGGCCAGCCCTGACCATTCTGGCCATCTACCTAAAGATCTAAATCTTAGTTAACTCTCATATTTTTTAGCCTGTTCCCTGTTCTTATTAGCACCAAAGGAAAAAATTTAAAGTTATTTATTTGAAAGGCAGAGTTACAAAAAGAAAGGGAGAGAGAGAGATTCTTCCATCTGCTGGTTCACTCCCCAGATGGCCACAATGATCAGGGCTGGGCCAATATGAAGCCAGGAGCCAGGAGCTTCCTCTGGGTCTCCCACATGGGTGTAGGATCCCAAGGACTTGGGCCATCCTTCACTGCTTTCCTACACCATAGTAGAGAGCTGGATTAGAAGTGGAGCAGCTGGGGCTTGAACCAGTGTCCATATGGGATGCTGGCAGCATAGGCAGTGGCTTAAGCTGCTATGCCACAGCT